ACGACTTGCCTAAAATAAAATCTATAAATATAAAACAGTTAAATAGCATATAACAATGTTAGTTTAAACGTTAAACCTAGATAAATGAGCTATTAGGCGCATATCAAATCGGTTTTGCGGACAGTGGAAGCTAAAGCGCGCTTTGCAGGACATGGAGGCGCCAGCGCGATCACTTGCATTTTTTCAGTGGAAACAACTTAAAAGGTTTCCTCATAAAGGTAGAGTAGAGTAATACATCATTCGGAACTGTAAAGGGTCTACTTTTAATTGTGTGCACTCACAATATCAACAAAACGTTGTGCTTTTATAAAATAAAGAAAACAAACATGATGTGCTTTCTGCCGTCTCGGTCTTGAACAGGAGCGCATCACAAAAATTAACCAAAACTCAGCAAATACATGCCTCACAGACATGATAAAGATATCTATAGAAAGCTTTCAATTACTGCTTAACGAAATAAAACAAATTGTAAACAAAAACTCTTTCGTAAAGATGCATTTCTCTCTAAAGGCGCGTCCAGTGAGGAGATGGCGAGTCAGGACAGGCAACTTCACCCTTGCCATACTGACTCAGAAAACACTAGTTTATTAATAAATAATTCATGGTAATTACTTTTGCCGCTGCTTTGCGGCAAGCTTTAGACTGTTGCGTGCATTTGAACGCAGAATTTGTCAGCTGTTAAACTAAACACTAAACACCGTTGAGCCGCTCTTGACAGTCGCGGTAGCACGGTCTCATGTTGTTTCCACCAGCGCTGCAATTTTTAATTTTTTTTTTATTTTAAAAGTGTTAAATGATTTCTAAAGCTGGAAAATTCCTCTAAATTAATAAAATCCTTAAATTCCATGGACATTTTTATAAAGAATATACATTTTTGTATTTATGCCAAGCTCTAAAATATTTTATTTAATATAAATTGTGAATACACACATTTAAAAAAAATCCCTACCCTAAATCCTTGTCCAGTCATCCACAAACAACTGGAAACATAATATAAATGAATTGGTTAAAAATATCAGGATCCTTAAAGAACATTCAGCGCTTAAAACTTCTGAAATCCTAAATCTGAATTTACCTAGAAATGTGAGGAACACTGATGGAAACAAAAGAGGGCCTTAGAGTCAATAAGGATGAGAACAACTGACCTACATCCTTGTACATGTTACAAAATGCTACAAGATTCACCTAGTGTTACACAAAACAAAGCATCAACAAGTAAGTGAACAGTGAATATTACCTTGAGCTCAGAGCCGTAGTTCTCCACCTCCTGGACGTTTGTAGGGACCGTGTGAACCTCACGCAGGCGATTCTCATATTTCTTCACCACATCTTCTGTCCCTTGTGTGTTCTGGATCACAACTTCTATTGTCTTAAGT